TTACTGTAATTTCTACAGGAAATTTTTAACAGTGCGTGTAATATGTAATACAGCACACTCGCTTGGAATGGATTTAATTATTGCGTGGTTTAAACTTTAGGGAAGACAGCTGCTGAAAAACTGGCAAACATTATGTTTCAAATCTCACATTATACAACAATTACTTCTGATCCTCACAACAGTTTATCCTGCTTTGGGTTTGCTTGGAATTATTACTGTTAACAAGGCAAAAAGTACACAAAATAATTGGCCATACTGTGTCTAAAAAGAAAGGTAATCAAATTACAATAAGAAAAAATAACTGTGCTGCTATCTGCAGCCAAATCACAGCCATGCTGTGAGAACAACACAATTGTGTGCATTGCATATTTATCTCCCATCATGAATTAAATCTTCTGATGAAACTGCACAAATGGGTTTATTAAGTCTTCTGAGAAACAGCAAAACGTTGGAAAACAGTTGCATAACAAAAGTGTTTAAGAGCTATGCCAAGCTGGCTATCACAGAAATCTCTCCAATAACGACTCTATTCTGCTGCCTCAATTACAGCTAAACTCGAAAATGTGCTAATTCATTTCTGCTGCTTCACATGTCACAACAGAATACCGATAAAAAGAACGTTAGAATAAAAGCTAATTGAAACCAACAATGGTTTTGATTTGCACTCGTTTGTATGCGTCATTCCTACGTGAAAAATAACACACTACTGCCAGAAAACATCATCGCCCAGCCATCTGTCCGCTGAGTCATTTTCACTTTGAGTTTCTCATTCACACACACGTGCTCGGTGCTAATTGAGTGTAGGGGATGAACCGTGGTAAACATCTGCTCAAAAACTCTGTTGACGTGGTTTCCAAAGGGAAACTGCTTTTTAAAATAAATCAAATAAAATACTGAAATTAAATGAAGGAATTTGATGATAAACGTGTTTATTAAAAGCAAAATATCCAACTTCTGAGTGTAGACTTTCTGTCCAGGCAGTGTACATTTTGTGATGTTGAGATCTCTGAAATTCTAAAGGATACACATGTCTTCATAAACATCTGAGATGCATAAGGGCCTATTCACATCAAGGATGATAACTATAATAATAACAATTAAGTTAAAGTTTTAAAAATCATTGTACATTTAAAAGAACAGCAGAGTCTACTCCAACTGCAACGATTATGGCACAGAAGAACAATAACGTTGGAATCACTTTCAAAGCGATTTTTTCGATCTGAAGAATCGGTGTGGACAGGCCTTTAGACTTCCATTTCTCGACTTTCAATGACACTGGTCAAATAAATGCGATATCAAAGATCTCAATTGTCCTTTTTTAACTATGGAGTGTGCTACAATTTATTAAAATATAAAAAAATAAAAAATTTGGTGGGTTCTCGATTGATTTTTTTTTTTATGAAAGCCCACTTTGCTAAAAAAAAATTGGCTGGCAATCCTAATGTCACAAGGTTAAAGCTGTCGAAACAAATATTAATGCAAGAGATTTGCAACTACCCATAAAACTCCCAACATTACAGCGTCTTACACTTAAGAGTGCACACTGAAACAACCTGCAGAACAGAAGCTGTGAGGCATGATCCACGTCTCTCCATTTAAATGTCAGAGTCATTGAGGAAAGAAAACACCACCACACCACTGCAAACAAAACTTTCTCTCTTGTTGTACAAGCATGTCTGTCCTCCTCTTAGCCAACACTTTGCGCTTTGGCACCATTAACAACACTGACGCAATAAGAGAGCAGGCCACATACTAATAACATTCTTGCTCTTACAGGCTATTCACAATGAGGAAATAATTACTAGTTGTGCTCCAGCCACTTTGTCTCAATGTTTTTATCCAATTTTGCATCTTTATTGCTTCTCACAATCAAGTGTCATGGAAAAAGAACACATAAATCACCCCCTCGAGACTCACCCTTGACCTCTGAGAAATTTAAGATGGCTTGTAACATAAAATGGAAAACTTTCACAAATATCCACATAAAGCGAGTGCATTAGGTTCCATGCTTTTAAGCACACAGTAAATATTAACAGGTATTTCAAATTAAATTAGTTTGGCTTAACTTAAAGGATTAGTTCATTTACATAATAAAAAATTCCTGATGATTTACTTACCCCCATGTCATCCAAGATGTTCATGTCTTTCTGTCTTCAGTTGCAAAGAAATTAAGGTTTTTGAGCTAAACATTCCAGGATTTTTCTCCATATAATGGACTTCAATGGGAACCAATGGGCTGAAGGTCCAAATTGCAGTTTCAGTGCAGCTTCAAAGTGCCCTACATGATCCCAGCTGAGGAATAAGGATGATTTATTAACGTAGTAGAATGAAGCAGGGGGAGGCTGAAAGCCATCGAAGCGTAACGAGGCCACTGAACGAGCGCGACACACGGCTCGAAAGCAGCGGAGCTTTTATTATGCCACAGTCGACCGCTTCCGCTCCTTCCGGTCATGCGTATGTGGGGGAAAAAAAGCAGCGCTGTTTTATCATACTAGATACATTTGAAAGTTCTGTTATAATGCTACTCTGTGCGGTCGTCACCGGTCTATTAAAACGCACAACATATTAAAGCGTCTTTGAATTTTCCTTATTTTCTACAAAACAAAACCGGAAATCGAGGGGTTATGACATCATTGGCAGGCGACACAATGACACTATGGAAACGGTCTGTGTCACTAGTTAAAATTGCTTATTTCTCTGGATTTAAACATTCTTCGAAACATTTGGGATAATGTAAA